GGATTGTGATAAGAGTTGTATGAGCCCCTAATAAAATGATTTTAAAAAATAAATTAAATTAAAATATTTAAAAAATTTAAATAATAAAAATAAAAGAGTTTCTGTGCAGGTGGAGAAGTTGTGCCATCTTTTTGTGTGTGTGCCATCTTATAACAAGACTGTAACATTTTAATTTTAATAAAAGAGTTTGACCTCTGACAGACCCATTTTGGGTTTCCAAACATTTAAATCTCTTTTTAGTTTATGAGAGAGCCCTGGTGGAACAGCTGTTGTCCATTGGGCTGCTAACGACAAGGTTAGTAGTTCAAAACTACCGGTCGCTCTGCAGGAGAAAGACAAGGCTCTCTACTCCCATAAAGAGGTCCAGTGTCCGAATCCCATCAGGGCAGTGCTACCCTGTGCTATAGGGTCACGATGAGTCAGAATCAACTTGATGGCAGTGACTTTTGCTTGGTTTGGGATTTATTGTACTGAATTCACTACACAGTCTCACGAAAACTCAAAGAGTTTGGGACGGGGGGGGGGGTTCCTGAGGCTGCAAATATTTATGGGAGCCAAAAGTCTCATATTTTTCTTGCAGTGCAGCTTGTGGGTTCGAATAGCTGTCTTTGTGGTTGGTAGTCAAACACATTACCCACTACATCATCAGGACTCCTTATGTATGATAACGCAACTCTTATTTCAGACCTATTTTTAGGTAACAAGCTAGAACTACTTGCCATTCAGTTCATAATTAAGGTGAAGTGATACTTAGGGAAGAATCCAAGTTCACATAACTTGCACTTTTCAAATATATCTTTGGATCAAAGGACATCATGTACAGTTTAACTTGATCTATTTAGTACAACACAAACTACTTTAAATAAAGCTAGCCAGCGTGCACTTCCTCTATCTCAAGCTAGCTAACACTACATTAAATTAGCCTGACTTTTTATGGGTGAGCAGAGTGAAGAGTGGTATATAGCATATGTTCTATATCTAAAACTAGAGCGAATAGGGGAAAGCTGGTGTTATTTTTTGAATTGGCAGATCAAATATACCCAGAAATAAATCTAACTGTTGAGGCTTGTAGAATTGATGCTCAGTTCTACTTTGTGATCCGTGAAGTAGCCCTGACTCAGGATCCACTTGATGTGGATTAATCAATTCCGAGTGATGTTCTAGAAAAGAGAAAAAGCATAGAGACACAGCAAGAGGAAGACAGCCATCAGATGACAAGGAACTTCTGGAATTAGCAGAAGCGGAGAGAGAAATGAAGGGATATTCTCCTCAAGCATTTGGAGGGGGCATGTCTGGCCAACATTTCCATAGGGAAGTCTGGCTTTCAGAGCCGTGAGGCAACGCACTTCTGTTCATATTAATTCGCTGGTCAAACCCAACCCAATCCAATCAATCCAATCCAATTCAAACCAAACCAAATCAAACCAATAGACCCCAAACCCATCCCATCCCAACCCATCCAATCCAAACCAAACTCAATCCAAACTAAACAAATCCAATCCAACCCAAACCAATCCAATTCAAACTAATCCAAACCACACTGCTGCTGAGTCAGTTTGGAACAATGGCGCGACCCTGAGTGTTGGAACGGTTCTGCGGCATTTTCTTGGCTGTAATCTCTATGGAAGCAGACCACTCGGTCTTTCTTATGCAGCGCTGTTGTATGGGTTTGAACTGCCAACCTTTACGTTAGTAATCTAGTGCAAACTGTGCACCTTTTTAAGTTCTCCAGCTTGGGATCATTTGTTACGGTAGTCCTAGGCAAACAATACGAGTATCAAAGCACGTGGCACTTCTATCTGAATTGCCGATTTTAATTACCCAGACACTCCCTCTGGCACCAAGGACTCTGAGCAGACTCCACACCACCAATTGTCTTTTGCATCCTAGGCATCTTCCTTGGGCTCTCTTCCCCTACCCTAAGTCCTGTGGGCCTCATGATTCATTCTTGTCAGCCTTCTGGGAGGAGAACAGGGAGGAGTTCCAAAGTCTGCCTCATTCCCCTTTTAAACTGACTTCCACTATTGCTGGCAGGCTGACCCTCATGCCTGAGTAACTCAGCTTCCTCAGAAAGGGCTCTGGAACTCAAGCATCTTTGGTGCTTAAAGGCTATTTTCCTTTCAGCTATTGTTGGTATTGTTGTTAGGTGCTATCGAATCAATTCCAATTGATACCAACTGTGGTAGTTACATGATTTCATGTCAACTTGAAGTTATATAAAAGTGTTGGGGTGGTATTAAACCTGTCAATCAGGTCACAGCCTGATGATGCCTCCTTGTGGGTGTGGCCTTCTCATAAGGGGGCCCCTGAGAACCTCCGCCTCTCTCTCTGCCTTCACTTTCCTGCTCAGGGCCACTCTGATACCTGTGAGAGCCCTGTGATGCTTCCACTGCCATTGGATCCACAGGACTTTGCACCCACCGACCTGTGATCTTCCTGCATTCTGTATCATTGCATGTGGCTGTGTGAGTCTGAAGAGGGAGTTATGGACTAGTGTTAGACTTCTGGTCATGATCTGGAATGGGATGGTATATTTGCTTGATAAATAATTACTTCTTCATATAAAGCTCTCTCTTACACACATATGACTGTCACTGGATTTGTTTCTTTAGTCAACCTGGCCTAACACACCAACTCTGTACACAACAGAACAAACACGGCCCGGTCCTGCCCCATCCTCACAATTGTTCCTGTGCTTGAGCTGTGGTTGCAGCCTCAGTGTCACTCTAGGCCATGGAGGGCCTCCCTCTTTTTCATGGCCACCCCTGTCCTTTGCCACCCCAGCCGGTGCGATCACGAGGTGTCGATGGGATCAGGTATCAGGCATCAAAGACCCAGAACAAAAAAATCATATCAATGGATATCCACTGGATGGAGGATCAAAAACCACATTATCCACCAAATGTGGGGAAAAGATTTTAGTCCTGTTTTGTGGAGCTGCTGAGTTTGATGCCCTTTCAGAGGTGACGGTGTGTCCTGGATTTTGCTATATTCTGGTTATATTAATTTTGCATTTCATATGTTATGTACCATTTGAAAATAAAGAGTTCTGGAACTGGAATTCACTTTGAGTCCATGCTCTGCCACATTAAAAAACAGAGAAAATACAGCTAATTTTAGGCTAAAGTTAGTTAAAGGTGCCCTTTAATTGCCCCTTGTGGTGAAGGGAAGTTATTTGCTATGACTCTTCTGTCCTTAGTCTTTGTAACAACCACCCAGCGACTGGGGAAGCGGGCGGGACATGCAAATAAAGTGTCCAGAAATCCAAATTGGGTGTCGATCCATTTTGCCATTCTACTGGGCACAAAAGCGAGCCACTGCAGCAGCAGGAAGAGGGTACTCGTGTAGCCATCATGACGGAAGAGCCACCAGCAGAGCACATGTGAGATCCCTGCTGAAGGGCTGGAGGAAGCAGAGGCAGCAGAGGCTGCAGCATCAAGACCATGAGTCAGAGCAGAGGAGCCATGCCAAGAGCATGACACAGAGCGGTGGACAGCTAAACCCTGAACAGGGCAGACACTACAGGGCCATGTGGTTTGGAGGCTGAGAACCAGGGAGATGTGACTGCCAGCATGGCTGAGAAAATGCACTCCTACAGGCCAAAGGACTGTCATACTTTGTGATAGGTAGGTTTATTGTGCCAACCTGGCCAATGAACACATGTGGGATTAATTGAAGGGTGGAGAGATAAATGGCATGGCGAGCCTCACCTTTCTTGTCTCTTGCTCTTTGATCATCGGACCAGTGTGCGGCTGCCTTAGCTGGTTCTCTGCCTCAATTTGTAAGCTACACTACCTGTGGGACACCCAACCTGTGGACTGTGTATCTGTAGTTTGAGGTCCCTTTGAGATCTGCTTCCCCACACTACGGGATTATACATCGCTTGAGCTGGGAACTGTCGGACTCTGACATCTGGCTGACTGTTGGTGACCTGCCTTGTTGTTTGCTGCCTGTGGCTGGATAGCCTGAATTGCTCTACAGAGAACTCAGCTGTCTGCTTCCTTGACTTGCACCTGCCGGCCTCAAGACTTGAAGGACTTCCAGTATATTAGCTGTATCACGGAAGTGAGTTACACTGAGCCATTTGTACTGCTCTATAGGTTAATTAGCTGTTTATTTCTTATGTTGTATCTATATATCTATATCTATCTATATAAAATCATAAGTGTCCTGGTTTTGTTTCTCTAGATAACTCTGTCTAACATATACTTAATGTTTTCTGATGCTGACTTATGGTAACCTGTTAAATTCCCAAATAGCCTTCCATAGCAATGCGTATTGGCTGAGTTCTGTGTGGCCAGTGCAATGGAGTGCCAGACCCAGCAGAATAGGGGGAATGCTGTGGGAGGGACAGTGGGTGTCAGAATAGGATAAAGAAGTTGGAGAGTGAGAAGTAACAAAGCCCACATGGAAGAAGCACACCAGCCTGTGTGATCATGAGATGTCGATGGGATCAGGGATCAGGCATCAAAGACCCAGAACAAAAAAAATCACATCAATGTGAATGGGGGTGTGTGTGTGTGTGTGTGTGTGTGTGTGCGAAGTAGAGACCAAAATCCCATTGGTAGACAATTGGACTTCCCCTTAAAGAAGGGTCACAAGGAAGAGATGGGCCAATCAGGGTGGAGTATAGCACCAATGAAGCATACAACTTCCCTCTAGTTCTTTAATGCTTCCTCCCCACCACTATCATGACCCCAATTCTACCTTATAAATCTGGCTAGACCAGAGCATGTACAGTGCTATAGATAAAAGCTGGAAATACAGGGAATTCAGGACAGACAAACCCCTCAGGACCGATAATGAGTAGTGGTACCACGAGGGGAAGGGGAAGGTGGGAGGAAAGAGGGGGAACCGATCACAATGATCTACATATAACTCCCTTCCCTAGGGGATGGACAACAGAAAAGTGGGTGAAGGGAGACACTGGTTAGTGTAAACATGAAAAAATAATAATAATTTCTAAATTATCAAGGGTTCATGAGGGAGGGTGGGTGGGGGAGGGAGGGGAAATAATGAGGAGCTGATAGCAAGGGCTCAAGTAGAAAGAAAATATTTTGAAAATGATGATGGCAACAACTGTACAAATGTGCTTGACACATGTCTGTATGTATTGTGATAAGAGCCCCCAACAAAATGATTTAAAAACAAAGTTGGAGAGTAAAGGTGTCTGACCTCGGCCTCACGGACATGGTCCGTAGGCAGGTGTGGAGCTGGACTCTTCTCCTCCCTTGCATAGCTGGAGGTGGTGAGATGTGCCCCCCGCCCATTTCTTCACTCCTTCATAGGATTACTATAAAAATTAATGAAATAATATAGGAAGTATCATAGTGGGTTTGTAGTTGCCAACTCCAAGGACAGCAGTTCAAAGCCACCAGTTGCTCCCAAGGAGAAAGATGGCGATTTCTACTCTGTAAAGAGAGGCAGTCTGGGAAACCCACAGTGTTCTATGAGTCAGAATCATGGGTTTGTAGGACAGCACATAGAACAAGACTTACTACTGAGTGGTGGGCCTTACTTTTTTGTTTCAGTTAAGCACCTCTCAGTAGGAAAACCCCAGTATTCCCTTGCCAAATATTGGGGTGTGTGTGCTAATTCTGCCTCTAAAGCACTCACCATGAAATAGGCGTTCAGGTGCACACCAATTTCCGTGATGGAGGAATTTGAAGACGGTGGAGACTCCTTTGCACAGATGTCAACAGGATCGGGCTTTCTCAGATGCAGTTGCTGCGGCTGGCCGTCCAGGAGCTGGAACATCTCTACACGGGCTTTCTTCAGAACCTTGCTGTAAATCCGATCTTGACAAAACACCAGCTGCTCCATCCGGAACTGAAGCTGGATCACGTTTTCCGCTGACTGCGCTTGCTGTACCTTGACCGTTTCGATCAGCTTCTGGTTGGAAAAGAGGGGGAGAGAGCCTGCTTTCCTTCCCATAGACCCCAACACTTTAAAGGTATGATGGGGCCACATGGCGTGTTAACAAATAATCTCAGCCCCCAAAGACTGGAGGCTAAACGGTGATTTTAAGAAGGTCCCGCTGCACGCTCTCCAGCTGTCCTCCTCAATGAGATTGTTTTCCGGTCTCACCTGCCTCCTCACTCCCCCACCCCCTTCTCTCTGCCACACCCTCCTCAGCCCCAGGGCACTGTCACCACTGTCATTCTCCGCTGAGCCCATGTGCAGCCACGGGCAGCCCTCCACTGACAGGTGAGTGCTGGGTGCTTGGACCCGGGTGCACTGGCTGGGGAGCGAACCCCGGGTCCCTGCATGGAAGGAGCACTCTTGCCTCTATCCTCCGCGTGAATCCAAGTGCTCAGGAATGGTTCTAGAACCAATGAGCACAGGGAAAGGAGAACTGGGGATATTTATTTCCCAGAAATTCCCCCTTTCCGCCCCACCCGCCCCCACCCTCCAGTCCCGAGAGAGAGAGAGAAGAAGAAGAGTCATTTCTTGGCTTTTGATTTTTACAGACTTTTGCAAATTGAAGGTTAGAGGGGGTGGGGGCTGTACGTTTCACAAATGCTGTTTATTCTTCCATTTTTCCCCTGGAATATAGGCAGCAGCAATAGGCAGAAGACCCTGTTGGGGACTGGACTGTGTCTCCCAAAAAGACAGGTTGAAATCCTAGCCTGTAGTACCTGTGCGTGTGACCTTGCTTGGAAGTAGGAACCTTGTGGCTGTCATCAGTTAAGATGAGGCCAGACTGGGGTGGGGGTGTTCTAATTCCACAAGAGTGGCGTCCTTATGAAAGAAGACATAGGAGCCAGCCAGCCGTCTCAAGGTGCATCTCCAAGGCAAAGAACACCCGAGGCTACCAGAGGCTGAGAGAGACAAGACGGATCTGTGCCTAGAAGCAGTGGTTTTCACCCTTCCTAATGCCTCAACCCTTTCATACAGTTCCTCATGTGGTGGTGACCCCCAACCATAACATTATTTTCGTTGCTACTTCATCACTGTCATTTTGCTACTATAATGAATTGGGTGACCCCTGTGAAAGGGTCATCCGACCCCCCAAAGGGCTTACGTCCCACAGGTTGAGACCCGCTTAGAGAGAGCCCCTGGAGAGGACAGGGCCATAGCCCCTGGACATGAACTTCTGGCCTCCACCCCAGTGAGACAATAAGCGTCTGCAGTTAGATGCCTCTCCATCCATGAGGCTTGGCGACTGCAGCTCTAGGAATCCAGACTGTGGAGTGAGATTTAACCCTCCAGCCTCTGCCTGGGTAGGAGTGCAGTTCTTACCTGGAGAGTTCTGGGTGGGGACGTGCTAATTGGAAGACTACTTAAGTGACAATGTTGTCCTTCATGATGCAAAACCCAACCTGCCATTCTATTTTTTGT